GCCTAAGGATGATGAGCTATTTCTACCTATGGGATGTAACAAAAACTAAACATTGAATAGGAAAAGTGTGGGGATAGGTCACTACAAATTTAAATATTGATATTCTCATAATCTGAACGAATTGAATTGCCAAGCTCTCTAAGTTTTCATAAATGACTTCTAAACTGATCACATATTAATGTATATTTGCATTTTATCACTGGTTATTACATTTGATCCCACCCAGCATACATATGGTATTTGTAGGTGAAACGAATTACTAGCCATGTATTAAAATCTCCGATATTCTACATCCTTCCGACTACCTTATTTTCTTTGGCTCAGCTTCATCTTCATTGACACTTTTTTCGCATCTAATCATCTTTGCATATCAGGTGGTGATCTCGCAGTGTCAAACACCCGGTTCTAAATTGGTTTCTTGGCTGCACGAAAACTATCTTGACTTCATACCTAGTGGCCTATGTGGGCGTCAATTCACCCCGGGCCTCGTTTTCGCTTCCGATCGGATTAGCTGGGCTGACGCCCATCTAACTGGTGGTGCTGCTTGGCGCCTTGGCCTGAGCCCAGCCTCACCAGTCTTTGGGCAGACATCGGGGACTGCATGTCCCATTCGTGCGAATCAATCTCTCAAAACGGAGATTCTGGGAGACCCCAGTCAAATTGAAACATTGCAGGACAGATGGTCTCTTGGCTCTGATAAGAATAAGGACGCAGTTGAATACTATTTAGCCAGCGTTGTGACTAGGAGTCTTCTCTTAGCTCCGGGGATGCTGAACTTTTCAGCTCAACAAGTACGCATAGCCAACTTATACTTTTTATGACTACTTTTAAATTATGCATATGTATGAGATTGAGAAAGATATGAATATAGAATACCAAGGACCAATTTCTTGTTGAAAATAATCGGGTCGCAGAAGCACAATACGAAGTTTGTGCTACCAATTTTCCCAGCTAACACGAAAACGAAATAAAAATGGAGAATGCGGCAACAAAATTAACACAAT